GGGTTATTGTCACATCACCAACTGTGTATACATCACGGCCAGAACTGAATTCACCTCCAACATATAAATATAATTTAAGGGGAAAAAAAAAATCACAATCATGATAACAAATAAGACCACGCAAAACAGACGGCGTTTGTGCCCCAAAAACACCCAGTACAATCGCACCATTCGTATCATATGGTGTCGCAGTATAGCACACTGTAAAGCGATGCCATGTGACATTGTTCAGTCTGCGTTTGAAAACATTTGCACTCTAAACACCTTCCTAGGGGGAAAAAAAACTCCATCCACTCCTGCAAGCGAATGCTCAACTACTTCATCATTGATTACCTCGCTCAAGGGCACAGTTTGAGTAACGTTTTCTGGAGAACATGAAATTACAGCATTGGGAGTCTTGGGATTTAAGTCCCAGTGTGCTGCACATTTTGAGTGAAAGAAAGAGAGAGAGAGAAAGAGTACCGGAGGCTACAGTGGAGTCTCAAATAGACACACTGCTCACACTATTATAACTATTTAAGTCACACGTGCAATTGGAGGAGGTAATTTGATACTGCAGCTGAATGCAAGTAGGTTATGGAGACGTCTACTAGTTTAATTTAATTAGCTATGCTTTGCACAAAGTGCTCGAGGTACAAAAATTACCAACATGTTTTTTATGAAACTTGGCATAGTGATGGTTCATGTGTCAATGTAATTCAGACAAGCACATCCATACTCACGTGCTTCAAACTCTTTGAGCAGAAGTAGTCTTTCTGAAGGTGTGCGGTCTGTTGTGACTTTCTGTAAACACAACATGAATTCAACAGCAAAAAAGAACATTATAAACGAGGTTTGTTGGAACAAATCAGTTTGCTGTGAGCTCAGCTGGCTGGAATAACAGCTGGAGAGCCACAGTATTGACCGCAGACATGTTGGCTTTCCCTGACACTGGATTGAAAACAACGACAGAGAAGCCTTGAAGACGACATTCTGCGTGACTCGTTGACATCGAAGTTGTTCAGATTTAATGAGAATTTTTCATATATGAAATCAGCATCATCTGTCCCAAGGTGACCATAAAAACCTTATTAATTGTACCAATATTAGTATCTGTACTCATGCTCCCAAAAATGTCCCGATACTAAAAACACTGATAACACTTTACCACCCTGACGTGATGTCCGGGCATGTGGAGTAGTAGCCATTTCGGCCTTGAAAGTAAACATAGATGACAACACTGTTACATGACTAAATTGTCCAAAGTGGCCCGGTGGTTGGAGACCACAGCTCTACCTGTTTCATGACGATTCTGGCCACCAGTCTGACCGTCTCTGAGGGACACCAGTTCTCCCCATAGGCACACATGGCGACGCACTCCAGCTTGTGCATTGGCCAATCGCCTCTCTGTGTGCATACAGAAACACAATAAGCAACCGCACGACAGTGTAATAAAAATATAAGGACAATAAATAATGGTAGTTACCTGGCAGTCAATGTTGCAATAGTAGGCCTGCTTACATTTTCCACATTTAGAAAGGTCTTCTTTTCTGTAATGAATCAAACGCATTATTAATGTGAATATTTTGATCTGTTTGCGTGTGTGTGTGTGTGTGTGTGTGTGTGTGTATAAACTGACAGAACCATAGTTTATAGACAGCACCGAACTAACTTGCGTATACTGTATATTTGATTGAATAATGGACACACACTTAAAATCTCTCTTCAGAACTTTTCTTTTGCATCGCAACTCTGTAGGGATTGTATTTTTAATATTTCAACTGAACAAAATGAAGCAAATGTACAACACATGCACCCCTGGCCTTCTCTTTTCTGCTCCACTACTGGGACACATGGGCAGGGCAGCTATATTTAGCGATAACCTTTCACTGCTCCACAAACCTTTAAGTAGCATGGGCACAACATGCATGCATGCACGTGAGGCAATAAAATAATTTAATAATTAAACGACAATACTGTAGAAATTAATCGAATGTTTCCCGTTTTGCCTTCTTTCGCTTAAGACAACACCTAAAGCATTTTTTTCCACACGCCCCGAGTGAAGACGTTTTTCAGCAAACACGTTCATTTTGTTATTTGGGGGGAAAATGTACAGTGTGTTCCTAAAAAATTGACAGTTTCGTGGCCTAATAACATAGCCAGTTCTTGCTCAACTAACTCAAATTTTAAACCAAAAAAGTTTACAGGTAAAAACTCAACCAATCTGTATGCTTAAAAGTGTAAATAAAGTTGAACGTGCACAGTGACAAAGACTGTCTACAATGGATAAATGTTTGTAGTGTACCACATGATGCAGGTGGAAGAAGTGAAATGAGCAAAACAAAACAAGTGTCCATTAAAAGAGTGATTTCGGCCTAGTGAATGAGAGGTAGTTTAAGTCGGATTAGTTAGCTTGTGAGTGAAATGGAGTTTATCGTACAAACCACAGGTGCATGTGAGTGAACGTCTCAACATGACTGATGGACAATACATGTGATACGTTGCGTTAGCAATCATTCAGCTTTGCGGTAAAAACAATATCATCTGCAGTGATAAATGTTGAGCTAATACACTGCACTTGACTAACCCGGTAAATTGCGCTGGGTGGCCACGGAGGGGTTTGAACGCTAACCCAGCCTAAGCGACGAAATGGACATGTGTCTAACTTTCAAATAATTCATGTTAGATAAATAAATAATAAACACCAATACGAGATGTTTGATAGCTGAGTGTTACCTGGTGAAACAGTGCTCGCAGTGCGTTCCTCGCTCGCTCTCGGTCAACACGTACGAGTAAGCTGGGCAGGCGAACACCAACTCCCCCACCGCGAAGTGCCTCAATGCCCGCAGACCTCGGCCCCTCTCCGGGTGAACGAACCGCTCCGTCCCCTCTATGCCTTCATTCTTCATGGTTCCCTGCACTGTTACACCGGAGGAGCGCTTTGCTACGGACTTCACAGAGATCAGCTTCAGGTTTTTGATACGATGCTTCTTCTTCTACGGCGCATTACGTACCTCGTTAATGCGCTTACCCTGCGCCTCCCTGGTGGACAGATGACAATACAACAGGCATAGTGCATACTAATCTCACAATTTAACAAAGAAAAAAAAACATGACTTCTGTCTTAAATTTTCTTCCTCATAGTTGTTTTCTTCTCAATCCTATGATGCCGTGTCTAACAATTCAGGAAGTCGGATCAATTTTGCACTCTTAGAAGTCTCTCTCTCTCATATAGGTTTTCGGTGTTTTTCTGTGTCGATATGAGCTTGGAGCTCTCCGACCAGCACATTCATTAGACATTTAGCTGCAAGATTCGCACAGTTAACTTTTGTCGTGTATTGTCATTGTCCTCGACTCTGAACCGTTAGTCAGGTGCAGACTGGCTCCAGTTGTATTTGGCTTTTTTCAACCCGTAAATCTGACGCATTCAATCCCATTTCGGCAGCAACACGTTGGCAATCACATTTTAAATTGAGCGCGCCTGCTCCGCTAGCAACCAGTTCAGGGTGTACTGCCCAAAGATAGCTGGGATAGGCTACAGCAGCCCCCCCCCC